AATTTTTGTATTATAAGTTCTACTTGTTCCAATAAGTGAGCATCTGTGTGTAGCTGAAGAGAAGACACATCCACGTTCACATCCTGAGATAACCTTCTAAATATAATCTTTTTAAATTCGTTATTCTTCTAAATCTGATGATTGAAACATTTATTTCAATGATTCTTAATTCCTATCTAGTTCATTTAATATATTCACAAAAAAAAAATTTTCTTTTTTATAAAACACACAATATATAACTATTGCACATTTTAGTTAATTGTTTTTTTTCTATGAAACATGATCGATCATTTGTATAGACGTTTTCTTTCGTTTATTTGTTCGATCTGGTATTGGTATTTGACTATTTGAACAATATTTTTCTAACCATTCTTCAAATGCTTTACTTAATGCACGACCTGATTTACCAATTTCTGATTCAGGCTAAAATAAAACAAAAATCAAAGAAATCTTAAATACATTAAACAAAGAAATTGAATAATACAAACTCGATTAAATGTTGAACAATTTTGAAACATTAATCGGACATCAGCTAGAAATTCAGTCATATTTGAATATGAATTTAATTTCTCTTTAATTGTACGTAAATCAATAGGTCGAGAAATAATTTTATGATAACCAATACACTTAAATTTAAAAAAAAAACAAATAAATTTAATAGAAAGTTTATTCTTTTTTTTTTTTATTTTTTGTTATCTTCATTAACATACATCAGCTGGTACTGGATGATGAAAAGGAACACTTGATGGATGTGTATACATTTGTAAAATTAATTTTTCACATATTTGTTTTTCAACTGATGATAATTTATCATTTGTATCGTCATGTTTACGTTTTAATGATGTTGATGAATGATTTATTTCACAACATAAACCACATTTCCATTTATCATTCATTGAAACTTCATTTAATGATGGTACATGACATTCAATATGATACACACGTGGACATTCATCACAACAAACAAGTTCACCACCACAACGACAAACAGCACAAAAATCATCACTTGTATCAAGTAATATTGTGGATTGAATATCATTATCAGATTTATCAATAGTTGTTGATTGTGAATGATATTTATTTAATTTTCTAAAAAAATTAAATTTCGTTTTTTTTTCTTTTGATAAAGATTTTATATGAATTTTTTTTTACTTTTGTTCAATACCATTAATATGTTCTAAATAAAATGAAGAGAAAAATTAAAAATTTAAGATTTTCTAAATAGAAAATTACCTTCTGGAAATCTTGATTTATTATTATTAATTGTTTTCTTTTTACCATTATGTATTAATACACCAAGACTTGTTATTGTTGAACGAACATTTTTTGGATCATATGGTGTAAATGTTAATTGAAATGGATTTATTGCTTTTGACCATAAAGCATTTTGATGAAGTAAATGATCTAATCGTTTACTCATTACACGATTAGATTTCAATAATGCCATTTTTGAATCTATTATTAGCAAACAAAAAGAAAATGAAGAAAAATTGATTCAATAAATATCATACTAGTTGTTAATGCTTCATTAACAAAATCAAGTGAATGATCAATATTTTGTAAATATTGTTCAAAACGTGTATTTCTAAAAGAAAAAAAAATATTATATCATTATGAATGGATAAAAAAAATATTATAAACACAGTCTTTTTTCAAACATAATCTAGCGTCAGTGAAATAATCTATCTTGTTTATTACTGCTTCTCATTTTAGTATTCCTTTTTAACATTAGTATTATTCGAACTATTGATCAGTTAATGTTTTTTATGATGATCATATGACGACTGTAACAAATCACTATCCATCATTCTTAACATCTCGAATATAAATTTTTATCTGAATAAAAATAAAAAATTACATTATTTAGAATGTTTACAAACGTATTCCAATCATTCGA